ACCTTCTAGCATAGTGTCTTTGGCAAATGATTTGTGTTTTCAGTGCGTGGGGAGATATCCTGGAGACTCAGGTGACACACGGCACATAGACTATTCTAGGGTTGTAGTGAGCTTCCCCAAACCAGACATTGGTGTTGCAGAGCTTCAGGAAGTGTGGCGACCAGAGGTGTAGTGTTGGGCCAGGCCTGGCCCAGGGTCAAAGCGGTCTGCATGCCAAGAGCGCTGGGCCGGTGTCCTGTCCCCCGCCCCCACCGCAGCCTGCCCTCCCTGCACAGGCCATGACTTGCACTAGAGCCGCTCTAGTCTCTCAGGAATCTGCTTGTTACTTTTACTGTGTAAATAAAGCTTCCTGGTTCAATATCCAGCTGCCTGGAATTGGCTGTGTGGTTTCTGTTGGGTGCAGTGAACCAGCAGGTTTCCCGTCTGCCCATGGGGGCACCAGCTCTGGGCAGGGAGGGGCACAGACTACACCCCTCTGTTCTCTCCAGGTCAGGATCCATAAAATGGGGATAGCAGACATCTCACAGAGCTGTGGGCAGGCTCAGATACAGGAGACGGTGTGTATGTGGACTTAGGGGTGGAGGAGCCCAGCCCCTTGCTTCAGCCAGGAGCCAAGGCCCCCAGGACAGCAGAAGGATCCCTCTGCAGTGGGGAGGAGTCTGCCTTCGCTGGCACAGCCTGCCCTTGTGAGCATATCACTTTCACTCATCAGTGCTGAGAGGCAAAGCTACGGGGAGAGGCCTAGGTGGCCACCTGCCACTTACCCCCTAGAGTAGCTCAGGAGGTGGTTCAGAGAGTGCCATTGGCTCAGGGCCTCTGACTCTGGGGGACAGCGCAGCTCAGACCTCTGCACCTAGGGCTGTGGGGATATCAGAGCACGCAGCTTAGCCTGGTATGGGATCGCAGGTCCTGTATCCGGCCCTCAGGTTAACCAAGCTCAGGAGATGCGGGAGTGGGGGTGTGTTGCAGCCTTGAGAAAAGGCATGAAGAGTTTTGTTTAATTTCTGTAACCCAACGTTTCCTCAGAGAATATGACCGCAGAATTTTTGCCTACTGTGTCTGTTGGGTCCTAGGATCCCACTCTGGGAATAGGCTTTGCAGCATGCTTGGTTTTCTTTTTAGCAGCAGATCTTCTCCCAAACAGAACCGACTGTGAACACCTATCTCACGAAACAGGTGAATTAGGCTGTAGGGGGCAAGATGGTCACCCTTATCCCAGCACCCAAGGCTTAGGGCTGACCCAGGGCTGGGCAAGTTGACCTTCTCACTAGACCCCACCCCACTATCCAGGGGAAGCTTCTGCCAAGCATACTGCCCCCTATGGGTCCCCCACCTGGGAGTGGGGCAGGGTGACCCTGGATGAACCTCTGGTCCCTAACAGCCCTTACCTCTATCCCCACCAGATGAGAGCCCTGGCTGGGCTCCAGCCTTGTGCTGGCCTGCTACAGCTCAGCCATGTCCAGCTATGGCCCCCAGCACTCTGCCCTGGCACCTTGGCCCTGTGGCTGCATCTTACTGAACCTCAGGGTTTGCTGAAACTGGGACTCCACCTCCAGGCACAGGCTCTCTGGACAGCTTTCACCCTCACCGTGCCCAAGCCAGCCAGCTCCCAGGTGCACAAGGGGCTCTGGCTGTGGACACTGGGCACATGCCTTGTCTGAGCAGCTCCTTATCTGTAAATGGGCTGTAACCCTCATGGGCTTCCACGAGAGAACTGGTGGAGGGAGACCCATTGCCACACTGGACCACCTGCCATTTGTGGAATGTGCACAGGAAGAGGGCTGAAAGAGAGAAGGCCAAAGGATGGGCATGCCTTGCACAGTGACCGTGGTCAGACTCTGAACGACTTTTGGTTTCTTTTTATTGAATTTTCGGTTAAATTTCCCACAATATGTATTTCCTTGATACTCTAAAAAAGAACCAGAGCCTTAAAAAGAGGGTGCAAAGTGCACAGCATATTTTTCACCTGAACCGGGACAGTCCTGAGAGGGAAGGCTGGAGTTACTGATGATCATTCTGGGACGGGAGGGGCTCACTCTGCCTTCTGCAGCCTGAGTCCCAGCCTTGTGCCCTTGGGAGAGGGTGTGGATGCCCACATGCCTGCTGTCTTGTGGGAGCTTGGGTGGGGTGCACATCGCACCCTTGCCCTGGGTGGGCATGGTCTCTTTGCCAGTCTGAGTCCTCTTGGGCCTCTTCTGCAGGCCCTGGAGTTGCTGAGCAAGCAAGAGGGGAGCATGGGAGTGAGGAGCTGTCTTTTCTGCCGAGTGGCTGAGATGAGGAGGATGAGGACCTTATATGACAGTGTGTGGGACCCCAGACCCAGCCTGGCCTGGGCTTGAAAGCCATGTAAGACAATTCTATTGTTGGACTAGCCCAATTGGAATTGAGCTTTCATGAGGAGACGCATTCAGCCCAGGTCTAGGGACAGTGTCGGCCTCAGAGTTGGGCTATTTATGGGTGGACGAGGCCCCAAAGGGGTGCACTGTCCTGCCTGCTCACCTCTCAGTCCCTCCCACTGCTGCTCCTGACAGCCACAGAGCTGACACCCCACAGCCTGGAACCCTGCTGGGAAGTGTGGCCGGGCCCCAGGCCACTGACTCGATCCAGATTTCCAAGGCAAAGCCTCCTAGGAGCCCACCAGGCTGGTCACCTGGGTTTTGACGGTCTGTTTCATAGTGACAGTTGGATGGTACATGTGTTGAACACAGTCCTGTCCTTAGCCCACCACCAGCCCTTAAATCCAGCCTCACCTGTGGTCTCTGACTCAAGGACTCAAGCCCATCTGTCTGGGGATGTGGAAGGAGGGTCCACAGCAGGCCAGGGCTGGGTCCCCTCTCCATACCCGCTGCAAAGGCTGGCAGTTGTCAGCAAGCTGGAAGGACCTGTGGTGAGGGAGGTCACTCCTCACTTCTGGGCAGCAACACTGCCCCAGGTGAGCAGCAGGGTAGAGTCATTGCCCCAGCTAGGGGACAAGGCACGCCAGCAGGGCTTGGGAAATACCATTAAGGAAATCATCTTATTTTATAGATAAGGTCACTAAGGTTCAGGGTCACAAGACTCCATGGGTGGGGTTGGGCCGCAACCTTAAGGAGAATATTCCATCTCTAGAGAGCGGATGCTAGTACGGAGCCAGCACAGACACTCCCACAGAAGATTTTTCAGCAAGGATGGGGTGGTATTATTGGAGGGACTCGAACAGGACAGACAGCATGTGGGGTCAGAACTTCACTGGGGCACAGCCTTGCCTTATTCTGTGGGCCCTTGGGCGAGTCACTTCATCCCTCTGCACCTCAGGTTCTTTATCTGTAAAGTAGGAAGGATGCCAGTGCTGAGCCCACTGCAGCTCAGAGGGTGGGACAGTTCTTCACTCGGAGCTGTGGTCTGTCCCCTAAGGAGCTGTCCTCTGCACCCTACTCTAGGCTGCAACTTAAAACAGTAGACTCAGCTTGTCCAGGGGAGACAGAGCCAGCCTCCTTCCCCAGGGAGACATCTGGCTGCAAGCCGGGGAACCCATTAAAAACAAAGCAAAAGGAAAACCAAAGACTTGCCAAACCAAGCCAGCATGCCAGGGTTGCCCCCCTCCCCAAGCCACCTTGGAACTACAGCCCACTGTCTGACATTGCCCCTAGTTGATCTCCTGACAGCCATCATCAGGGACCTACCTACCCAGGAGAAAGTGATAATCAGCCCGGGTGCCAATGACACTAGTCCATTTGGCAGCCTCTCTTTCTGATGATAAGACTTAGCCACCATTCCCTCCTAATCCTGATTTAATGGTGGCCAGTCTGGCTAGACACTGTACACCCCCCAGGGGCCAGCACTTCATCATCATCCTGTCTTAACCTAATGGAAATCCTATTATGAGGACCCAAGACGACTTCTTTTTTTTTTTTT